CTCTCGGACCTCAGCTACACCTCAACTTGTCTTCTGTCACGCTGAATTTCAGAGAACCAGGCTGTAAAAGTGCTAGGCTTTGTATTAAGCACTCAAGTTCCTTCTTGTGCATAGAGAAAGGTGATTGCATCATGTTCTCTTTCTATGAATGTGCCTCTCACCTGCTTTAGAGAGATGTTCAGGAGCTCCTGCATTTGGTGATTTATTTCTACCTCTGTGTTGATCCATCAGCCATGTTAGAGCAGCTCTTTGTGCAGCAACACAAACCCAAACCAGCCACTGAGAGAGGTATATTTAGCCAGTAATGGAGTTGAGGGTCTTATGCATGCAGAGTACTAAGCAAACAAATAACAAAGAGGGATTAAATATGTGGGAGCTGATTAAACTGGCATGACTTAGCCATGGTAAATGTCTAATGTGAAGAAATGGGATCCACCAAATCCAGCAGACATTTTGTCCTCTCAAGTGTTTTTTACCTAGTGAATTTTTCAGATAATGGTGTTCTTTGAATGCCTGCTGTAATCCAAGCTGTGGTTTACCATGTTCTGATTTTTTGTAAAGTTCTTGTTAGTAACCTGATTTTTAACAGTGGTGCCCACTGCCCTGTGTGCTTCATGCACCCAAAGCCTCGCGCACATCAAAGGATCTTGTCTTTTTCTCTGGATTTGTCGTGCTATTATATAGCAAGCATAGCAGCTGGGATATTTTACCTAGAAAATCCCATGTAAACAAAGACCTGTGGTGGCTTTGTACTGTTGTTTGAATTACAAATGAACATTCATTTGCTGAAGAGGTTAAACATCAAAAAGCCTTTAACAAATCTTGAAATATGTCACCATTTAAAAAAAAATACAGTCGCATCTGATTGCTAACTGTAAAGTTATTAACCTTCTGTGCTGCCTGCAATTTGCTCAATCAGTTGTTCCCAAGATGTACCCAAGAGACCAGTCAAGTAGAATATATTGACTCTGAGCTGAGTCAACAGTCCTCTGGAACTGAAATATGAGGGTTTTTTGGTTTTCTTCAAGTTTATTGTGTTTCGATATTTTATTGCAGTCTGCAGTGTGGATCACTTTATTTCTAAAAAAGCTGTCTGTATGGAAATCATGCTTTAGAGAGCTGCTGCCCTGACTCAGTCAGCCCCTGAATTTCCTGGGAAGGGTAGTTGTTATTTACCTATGAAAATGAGGATGGAAAACAGAATTTCTGTCTATCTTTTTAGGTGCTTAGGAAATTGTTTAATGTAAAGCTGTATTATCATCTTCTATTTCTGACTTGGATTCGTTGCGAACTCAGTGGATGTGTGGGGTGCATGTTCATAACCTGTTCAGTAGTGAGAGACCTAACATAGCCAGGGCAACAGTATTTGCTTAGTGTGATATCAAAGTCTGTTTCAGCAAGGTCAGAAAACGTAAGAAACTGGCAGATCTGTCTTCACCACTGAAGGCTACCACTCAGTGAACAGCTTTAGTGGGAGGAATTTTTGATGTGGGGATTAGGGGTGAAATATCTGTATTAGAAAGGAAGCAACACCTTGTAAAACTATAAAAGTAGCTTAAAATAATACAGAACAGCATTTTTATAGAGGAAGTGAGAAACTTTACTGTCACACTAATGGTGCTATAACCCCGTTTCTGCTCTAAGGTTAGCTTAAGTGCTTGACATACAAATGCTAGGGAGCAAATCAAGTTGGTTACTGATTCACACTTACTTAAACAGGCAAAGTGGGAGGTAAGGATTGCTTATCCGCTGTAAGTGAAGTTAAGGCCTCTCTTCCTTGCTGCGTGTGCTGACATTGCTCAACTTCTAATTGCAACACTACAATCCTTTGGAGAAGGATTCAGGAAAATATAAATGGATGCCTCTTCCCTAGGAGAAGTCTTTCTTCCTGCATCACCAACAGCTAAAAAAAAAAAAAAAAAAAAAAAAAAAAGAAAGAAAACTAACCAACTCATCTGAAAAACTGAGATTGCACATATATCTGCAATGGTGCTGTGTTTTTAGGATAGCAGGTCTCACTGGATCACACCCACCATCCTTGCCTTTTGTGTTTGGCAGCACCATATCCATCTATTTCTTTTCCATCCTCTCTCTAGAGTCATGGCTCCTGGGGCATTTCTGTGTCCAGGCAGACATTTTTACCACTATCTCCGCATTTCTGCAGTGAACATGCCAGCCTTCAACTAGATCGTTGCTCCTCCCTCTATCACACATACATGTATCTGGATAATTAGGTATGGGAATACCTTTAATTTGGTGTACCTGTTGACAAGACAACATTCCCTGGGAGCATATAAAACCACTTTGCAGGTCTTTACACTTTGAGGCTGGTAGTGCAGCAGTACAGGGCCCCAGGGTGCAAGTCCCACTCATGGTGGTTCTTTAGGTACTGCCTTTACACATTTCAAGTTGAAATAGCTCTTAGGGATATGGCGTAGTTGGGAACTGTCAGTGTTAGGTTAATGGTTGGACTGGGTGATCTTCAAGGTCTTTTCCAACCTGGATGATCCTGTGTTTTCCACTAATGGTGCCACATGCAGTTGCCTTCCTCTTAGGAAAAAAGTTTTAGTCAAATTATTGACTCCTTACCCTGACACTGAATGTTTCATTAAAGAGTGGTACTTTGTATCTACCCTTTTTAAAACCAATCAGTCTGCAATACCATGGTATAATTTTCTTTTATATGGCACCTTCTGCACATTCTGTGACTAAGTCCCTGACTATATTACAGGCATGTAAGGAAATAAAACCTCACTACAACAGGCTGATAATATGAACAACTATGTAAAAATTACTAGCAGAAGGAGAGGAGAAAAGGGTTAAGTGAAGGCCTGCCAGTATTTACTAGGATGACTCTGAACAGGTTAGAGAACTGAGGAGATGGAGAGCATTACAGAAAACTAGCTTCCAGTAGCAAGCACTGCAGGGAAAGTCTGCATTTATGATAGAAAATTATGTAGAGGAACAGAGAGCAAGGCAGTGCTTGTGTTCAGGGGAAAGGTCTGAAGCAGATGGTAAAAAAACTGTATTGAGATCTGAAGATGGCACTTATTCTGAAAACCTCTCTCTGACCAATTCCTTAGGTTTCACAAAACTGTTTTCATTTATTAAGGAGTTATTCCAGGTAAATGGGGGTGCATTTACTAAATCAGCATCTTTAAGTGAGTTCCTAGAACATACACTTACTTAGCAAAGGAAATTACTGGCCTTAAAAAATCTATGTGATCCAGTAATCTCTTAAGACCTTGACAGCTGCATGAATGCAGCATTGCCACTGTCTGGGGAAATGATGGGAGAAATGTGGGGAGTCTTAGGGGAAATAGTATCTTACAAAGAGAGGACAGTTTACAGGGAAAGGTGTAATTTTCATTTAGATGATACTGCATCAAACAGAAACTGTTTACCATCCCATTTTCAAAGTTCAAGTGACAAGTAGCCTTGAAAGAAACTACCTGTATTCTCCAGCTCTGCTGTGCACTTGCTCAACAACCATAAAGTCATGTCCTGGGTCAGAGGCAAAGAGTATCAGCCATGGGATGATGCAATACCCGACTTGGAAAACTCCGACTCCAGCCAGCATCTAAGGGCCTTTGTGTAGGACCAGGGAAGTGCTCCAGCACAATCCTGTTGCAAGTAGCAATTGCAGAGTTCTTGAATGAATTAAAGGAGTAAGGTGACACTACATCTGTATATACCATTAGTTAGACAGCTATTATGATATAATGCTGCTTTTAAAAGGTGTTGGAAAGCCTCTGGAAGATTCAGCAAACAGTGACAAGAATGATTCATGATATGGAAAAACCTGACTTGCAGAGACCAGTAACAGAAATTTTCCATTAAGTATACCAAATATAAGGTTAAAGATGACTTAGGTTTTGGCTCTAATTACCAATACAAGGACAACTTATTTAGTATTTCAGCACTTCCTAATTTAGTTGTCATCATACAGACCCACTGCATTGCAAGCCCTAACACTTTGCTCAAATGTTGCAGAGAGTTCTGACTAGACTTAGTGCTGGGGGAAGGGCTGATCTTGAGTGTACTTGTCAGAAAAATTGGTGGCATCCTCAGTAATAAAAGAGACATAATACTAATACTGACTTTGGAAACTTCCCAGACTTTTTTAAAGGAGTCCAGCACTAGTATTCCTAGAAGTCTATCTGCTAACAAATAAGAAAGACACATCAGCAACTAACTGTATTCAGCATCAGTTCTGAAGGCTCCAAATTCAGTGAGCAGCCCCTTCCACAAGTAAGCTGTTGTCACACTGTGTGATATGAATGCACAGTAGACTAAAGGCACCTTTACTGATTTTGAAGGAGCAGTCTGAAAAGTGAGTTTTCAGGTTCTAGAGCTATTTTTATCTTACAAATCTCAGGATAAGCTTGCTTCCCCAGAGCTGCTGGTAGCGGAAAATAGCATTATATGTTCTACCACCTGAGGAGTAATCTCTGTCCTAGGTGTACTCCCCTGCCATGCTAGTCAAAACAGATCATGTAGTTGGAGATTTGTCCTCCTTAAGGAATTACACAAAGATGTTCTACCACAACCCTCCAACAGCAATTATTTTAGTCTGAAACTGGGAGGAAACAGAAAATCTCAACATTCAAATAATCTGTCTGTTTAATATATGGGACGTATGTTCAACAGAACAATTCATTGTGATGTAAAAAAAATATTCTAGGTACTTCTGCATACAGGATAAAATCCCAGGCTTAACATCATAGGACATGTTTTCTCATTAGTGGTACACTATTCAGGGTATGTGGGCTTTACTCAGTATAAACTTTGAGGAAGAGGTGGAGGTCCCACAACAAAAATTGTTCACAATTAAGGAAAAATTACAGAGCAATTATGCTACCTTCAAACAGCTGGAAAGCTTTGGCTGACTTGAAATAACTTTTCTCTCACAACCACCAGCTCTCCCAGGCTGCTCAGCACTCATCACCCTGTTGTCGCTTACTCTCCCACCCACCCACTGCTCCCCCTTGGCAAAATATCAGAAAGCCTACTTTGATATTTTTTAAACCACAGAAGCTCTGGACTGCAGAACGAGCTGCAACAGAGGTCCAGGCGTGACTATAAATGTCATGCTTCAGAGAACTGCAAAGCACTCCCAGCAATGGCCACACATATTCCCAAAGCTCTGGGTTGGTGGCATGATGGCCCAAGGAGAGCAAGTCGCTGCACTGCTGTTGAGTAAACGTATGCTGTCCATATGTTGGATGCATCAGCTGGCAGGCAGGGCGCCTTGGAAAAGCTGCGGTAGCTGCAGCTTCCTTTCTCTCCCATCTGGCATGGGCATAGCAAGGAAGTATCTGTGGGGGCCAAATTAAAGACGAGGATAAACAAAGAGATAGGCAGCCATGCAAGGGTGAAGCCATTTCGGAAGTGATGGTGGTAATTCAAGAAGTCTTTAGTGATCACTTCAGGCTTCACTTCCCAGACCTTTATTCTTCTAAGCAAAGTTTATTCTTTCACGTGACAGACTCTGTTAACCATACACACACAAAGTTCATGTATAACTAACCCAAACCTTTGACTTTAAATGCTCTGCCAAGTCCTTTACAAGACCCCTTTCTCCTGAGGCAGAAGATACGTTATACTCAGTAATGGAGCAGAACAACAACAATGTAGAGGATTTCTCCTTGAATGTCTTTTCTGTCACTCCTTATCAGGCAAACAGATCCGATGCCCTGGTGTCAGATGGGGATAAAGCTGGTGCCACTTTGCTCTTTTCAGGTGTGTTTTTGGGACTGGTGGGGATCACTTTCACTGTGATGGGATGGATAAAATATGATGGCATTACTCACCTGGAGTGGACTCAGTTACTAGGGCCTATTCTGCTATCTGTTGGGGTGACTTTTATTCTGATTGCTGTTTGTAAATTTAACATGCTTACATGCAAGCCCTGTAAAGAAAGAGAGGAAAATACATCAGACCTCGACCAGACTGCAAGTGGACAGTCCTTTGTCTTCACCGGCATTAACCAGCCTATAACTTTTCATGGCGCCACAGTGGTACAGTACATCCCTCCGCCGTACCCAGCCCAGGAAGCTATTGCTGTGAATCCTGGCTACCTTCACCCAGTGCTCAGCTGTTGTGGTGCTGTCTCCTCCAGCACCTCACCGATTCCCACCCCAGGCTCTGCTCGCTTCTGCCCTGCCTACACCCTGGATAACCCAGCTTTTACTGGAGATGAGAACTACGCTATTTATCCTGCAGAAAATACCAGGAATCAGAGGTACATCTTCTGAGATGCCATAGTGTGTTTGGACACAGGCTTCTGAGTATTTTAAGTGTTACGTATGATTTCAAAGGAAAAAAAGCTAGTCCAGGGTGTTATTCTTCTTCACATTTTTTTTCTTTGTTAAGAGTATTTCTTGAGTAAAGACTATGGAGACAAACTTTTTATGGAAAGCATTTTTATCCAAATTAGATTCATTTATGAATGCCTTTCAATTTTCAGTCTACTAAATCTCTTGCTCTTTTTGAAGATGTTAGTATATATGCTCCTGCCCTTGGGGGGTTTTTATGCTTATCTTACTACCTTTAGACTGTTGACCAGAAGGCTATTATATGCACAGCCAGAGGCTTCAACTCAAACACAATCACAACACCCGAGTCAGCACAAACCCAGCATTTTTATGACAATGCAATTGGTTTGGTACCAGATGCTCTCCCTCCTGATTTTGCCTGGTCACAACATGCTCCTCTCCCACTGTAGCAACCTTCCAGCCCTTACTTTTTTCCTAGTTTGGGGGCATAAACAAGATTGCTGATATTATAGAGCAGAATGAACTGCTTTAATCAGACACAAAATAATTTTATGTAGTTCTTTCCTCTAAGAAAAAATATTCTGATTATAAGAATTACTCAGAATTATATCATTCCTATATCATTCCATCACTTTTAGTTGATTTGTCAAAGTCTGTTTGAAAAACTGCTGATCCATCGTTCTCAGCAACATGTGTGACAGGCATAGGCAGCCTGAAAACAAAGGTCAGCTCCTGACACTTATGCTTCACAAAAAAAGCACAGCAAATGGTTGAATTCTAGTAAAACTTCATCTTGTTGCATTTTCTCAAGAAATCAGGAAATGCTTTGCCCAGATAAGGCTGACAGGATGCAGCACTGACAGCTACTTGCATGCTTTGTGTTTGCTAAATTCTTTTTGAGCCTGCCTCTCTTCATATTTTCAGGTCAGAGGACAGTTCTGATGAGCCAGAAGAACTGCTGGAAGACTACAACTGTGATGACTTGTCACCTCCACGTTATGAGGAAATATACCCACTGTCTTCATAAAATAACCATAGACAACAGATAACAATTCCAAGAGACTCCAGATTTTTAACCCCCAGGAATCTTTTCTTTAAATACTTCCATGATAAGCAAGTGTGAGCAAGATTGGTACTGATACACAGTTCAGCATCACTGAAGATTTTTATCAATCCCTTCTTTTTCTCCAACAAAATTCATTAGCCCTTTGCTATGCAGGTTAATAGTAGAGTTATTAATTATTTAATAGCAAAACTATTAAATTCAAGGATCTAAATCAACATTAGGGTTCCCCAACAAGAAGCCTGATTTTCAGACTTGCTGAAACCAGTGTGAACTGTGAATACACAAGATGTTTGTGGAAGGTGATGATTGCTCCTAGACATTCAGCATCATTAGAAAACGCTTGATTTATTCTTGATATATTTTCCCTCTTGATTGATTGGGAAGCTTCAGAAGTGCTCAAGTGTCTGATCCATGAATGTTCCAGTATGTCTTAATTCTCTCTGATTCTTTAGACTAGCTCATTCATTAATAAGTCCAGTCTACAGATTAGACTTCCTCTGTTCGGTTCACCTGTACAACCCTGTAGGCATTTTTGGAGCACCCTGCTTGAACCAGAACATCTCAGGACAGAGAAAATACAAATAGTGACCTCTGCCTGTTTTCACAAAGACTTCTAAGAGATCCTTCATACATCAAATTCAGTTCCCTTCCCCACTTGATGGGATACAAAGCACTGTCTCCCACCAGGAGTCTTAACAACTACTAGGTCAATGTCCCTAAAGAAAATGTCACCTTTCTGAAGCCTTGACAGAGGAGTGTGGCTCTACCAATTTTAAAGGCTTTAACAATCACAACTTCTCCCTGCTGCACCTTCACTCTATGAGAGAGCTGTAGGGGAACACCTCCTGAGGTTCCTTCTTGTTTGAGTGGGATCCTAGGCACACAAATCATGCTGTACGTTCCCTCAGAGCATTCAGGCAACTACGGGCTGCAATGAACTTTCTAGTTCAACTTTCAAGATCAATATGGTTCCAGGCATTGTATCAACAAATGGATTTACAGCCATGTCTAATAAAGAATGAGGTGCATAAACTCTGAAATCTTGCAATCCAGAATGGAGGTCCCAAAATGCTTTGCTCAGGAGTTGTCTAAGTACCAGAGCTATCAGAATGCACTGAGTCGTTTAATTTTTATTTTGTATTTCCACATAGGCTTCAAATTCTGCTTTTCAGTATGTCTAGAGGTGTTCTGACACAGCTGGACCAAATCAATATCTCCTCATGAAGGATCCCATCAGCTTTACCTATCTCCCTCAAAGGGCTCAAACCAAAAGCTGTTCTCAGCTCACACCTGCTGGAACAGGCACCACACAAAATCTAGAGGGCAATTGTCACCATCCAAAGCAACCGAGCAATGTGCTGCTGGTGTATCTGTGGGTCAGTCTCCTGACCTGGAATAGCATGGCTAGAGGTCCATTGTGGAATGCATGAACTTTCTCTGACTTGTCAATACAGCCATTTCAGCTCCTGTCATTTGTCATCAATCTATGATTCATCTCATTGATCTCATTCTTGAGGACTGGGGAAGCCTGGTGTTGAGCACAGGCAAGCGGTACAGGATGTATCTGACATCTGAAAGTAACTGAGTGTCCATGCAGCCTCACTAGCAATCAGGAGATGTAGCTCTGGATGGAGAGACACATTCAGAACAGTGTCCAGTTGTTTGGAGCTGCAGGAGCACACTGTCCTCACTGTTCTGTATACTTAGAAGGTGCCAAGAAATTAAGCATTTTTGGAAGGGCACAAGACAACCACTGGGCTCCACAGTGATGGACATGACAGTGACAGAGGTCATATTTAGTATACAACATTTAAACCAACTCAAAGCTGGATTAGCAATTGTAACAGCAGCTGCTGGACAGTGACTACAAACTACATTAGAGGTTTTTCTCACTGGAGAAATACGGAGCATGCTGTTCTTCATCAGCAATGGCCTGGTGTTAGCAGGTAGGCATGTGTAGTTGGAGAAAGGCAGGCACTCTGTGTCCAGCATGATCTTTGCAGCTGAGTGAGAGAACAGAAGGCCTAAGAATAAATGCAAGTTTATCTTATGGAAATGTCTTGCTCCTCTTCCAGAATTTACATGGGAAATTTTACATTTGCTCAGCCTCCCTCCATAGGAGGAAACTGGAAGGTCCCAAATCCCCAGTTAGTTCCACATGGACAGATCCCTGCACTTAGCATATAGTTCTGCTGACTCTAGCAGACACTGCAGGAGCACAGAGGTCAGGCTTGATGGATCCAATTGCAAGACCAGGGTCAAAATTTCTACCCGATCACCTTCCCCCACAACAAGAAAATTCCTTCAGCCAGAAACCACAGACTTCTGCTGTTGCTCTTTTTTTTTTTTCTTGCCCCTCAAATACATAGCATAAGCATGTTTCATGGGGAAATCATAGCTTTATTTTTATGACATCAAATCATAATGTCAGAGTAAATAAAAGTCTAGAAGGTTGTGCTGTGTACTCTGTATTGGTTTTAAAGTTTACTTCTGTAGACACTAAGTTAATTGGGTTTCTCTCCACAGAGAAGGCTGAATAAATTAAATAACTGCCTATTAAAATGATCAGATTAATTCTGTCTGAATTCTGTAGGAGTCTTTTCAAGCTGCACAGGTATTTGAGAAGCTTCAGTCTGATGACATTTCCTTGATGTATTGATTGCTGATTATTGTGTTTAAGAATAGAGCAGTATTCTATGAAGGCTTTCTTCTTCCTCTTCCTTCCATTGTCTACTTTCATCCTTTTTTCTATTTTAACATTTTTAAATTTTTAGGGTTTTTTTGCTTTTTGCTACTGTATCCTCAGTGATACAATCATCACATGAATTTACTTCTCAGCATTATGATCTCTTTCTGCCCTGTGATGAGTGAAAGAACAAACCTATTTGGCCACACCTTCAGCTAAGGTGAACTGACATAGCTCTGCTGGATTATACTGATTTAACTCCACAGAGCACCTGGAAGATTGTATCTGAGATTTTATACAATCCATTTTTCATTTAAACTAGTGCTCTTTAAGCAAAAATTACCTTCTCCCAATTGCCTGCAATGCCACTGCAGACCTGCAGAATGATGCTCTGTTATAGTTAGAAGCATCTCAAATTCTAGCCATGGCAATAGAACGTTGTATGTGAGTATTCAACTATGTAATACTGAATGGGTTATTGTGATTTTTCCTAATATGACTCAATTTACGAGATTTTGACCATATGCTGGTTAACAAATGAAATCGGTAGAGACATGTCTATTGATAAGAAGCTGGGCATGATCTGCTTGTTGCAGTAAAAATTCTGCACAGAGCTGCTCTGAGAGTGAGAAGCTGTTTCAAAACACTAAAAGCCTCATGCCAAATGCAGCTTTTGGGTGCGAATTTCTTCTCAGATAAACCTTAAGTCTGCTTTCTAACATCCATCCTGCCGTATCTGTGAGGAGGTACAGGAGGTACAGGAGCCCAGGTTTGCTTCGCTTTGGTCTTGCAGCACTCTCTCACAAAAGCCCGATTTCACCAGAGGTGCCTGTTTCTGCCGCCGATGCTCCAGTGCACGTGCCCAAGCAGAAAGCCCGAACTAGCTGGTGTTCGGAAGTTGTAGTGCTGAAATCCTTCGGAGAGTTGTTTTTAAACTGAATCGGGATTTAGGAAACCGGAGTTTCGGGAAAAGAATAAACCTGTAAGTAAGGCTTGTTCCTTTCCAGAGGGCCCCATGGCGCAGGCGGCAGGCCTTCGGCGCCGCGGGGTGCTCGGGGATGCTCCGCCGGCCCGCAGCTCCGCGCGGAGCCCGAGCC